CTCCTCAGACTGGCCAGCTACTGGTGTCTCATGCTCTGCTGCCTGTGCTGCTGCGTCGTGCTCCTCCAAGAATAAGTCCAGTGGGATGTCTCCAGCAGAAGTGAACCTCTCCACATCCTTCTTCAGCTGCTCCACTGACTCCTTTGAGGCCCGAGTCTTCTTCATCTTGTTGACTTGTTTGCCCAGATCCTGTATAGGTTTTCCATGAGTAGCCAAAGTGTCCATGATTTTCTTTTAGTTGTCTAGGAGCTTCTTTTGGTTGTCTAGAAGCTACTTCAACGACTCCTCCACTGATGAAGGCACTTGAGGATGTATCGGAGTTGACTGTGCTGCTACTATACTAGATATGACAGACAACTTTGATGAAGTTGCCTGCTCCAGTTGTTGATACTGGACAAAGTCTGAGAAAGTTGCAGTATAGTTTGGGGGTAGGCGGAAGAAGATGGCACAGACAATGGCATGGTGATGGATGGCCCAGATGAAGGAGGAGGTACGACAGCTGAGGATCCCCCTGCTGTGGAAGGCTCTAACCCGGTGGCCACTACCTCTGGCTCTTCAGACTGGCCAGTGGGGATAGCAGCTTTACCCTTTGCTTTAGGGTTGTCCGGTCCTTTGATTCTATGCCAGGAGAAGGGCTGATTTGACTTTGTCTTAGTGTCATAATTCTTCTTCTCAACTCCTTGGTCCTCAAAATACATGGTGAGGAAATTGGGGTAGGGGTAGGATCTCTCGTCCTTTCCAATTGCTTTTGTGATGTGTGCATGAGGTTCCCCACATTGATGGGATATCCCGCCATGATGGAGGCTATCAAGACACACTGGGTGAGTGGGAGGACACTGTCATGCTGACACGGATCCAGCCGGCTGCATAGAAAGGTGGACCACCCTTTGGCTTCAAAGCTGAGGGTGTTTATGGCTATTGGGACTATAGCTGTGAGTCATGCCGGTGTCGTCTCGGGAGCTAATATCTCCGCCACCCATGGATGGGCTGCTTCACCAAGTGCCAGCTTTTCCAAATATTGCACAGCTTCCATATTCTCGAAACCAACATAACATTCAACGTCTTACCATCGAATCGGATTCTCAAATTCCGGACCTTTGTCACAATGGTGCCCTTTTTAATGTGGGCAATGTTTGCGTAGAATTCATTGACAAGATATTCATTAGCATCCGGAACCTTTCTGGTGAACCATTTCCATCCTACTCTCTCCTCAAACTGCCTTTTTACATTTGGATTGTGGGGAAGAAGGTCTCGCTCTATGAATTTCCTCTCAAGGGTGAGTGACCTTTGGGGCCACCATTCTCGGAATTTCTGGTAGGCTAACTCACTCACAAATCTGTGTTGCCACACCTCCGGTTTTCTTGACCTTTCCAAACCCCCAACAATAGTATCACCCCCTCTCCCATAATTCGGGTCCTCGTCAACATCAACATCAATAGGGGCAGGGGCAACTGGTGAGGCCGGAGTTGTAGCATGTGGCGAAGATGATCTCGAAGCCTCACTACCTTCCTCTAAGCCATCAAATGACTCAGAAGATGAGGTAGGTTCATCTCGTAACTGGTACTTCCCCTCAAACTATGTGGGGATATGAGTTGGCACAGAATCTCCTTTCGAAGCTTCCTGGGAAGGGACATACTCACCAGTGTTTGAGTGGTCCGCTGCTTTATCCGCAGCTTTGATGGCAGCTCTCATCTTGCCAATTGATTTTTGGACTGCTAGGGGCATTATGGTCTTTCCTTTACCCCTACCTCGGGAGGGTTCTTCCCTACATTTAGATGTATCGCCTCTACCTCGGGATCGGACCATTATCTGCATTTACAATCAGTGATGGCTCAATAGTATTGTTGTTCAATAAATCATCAAAGGAAAGCATATGAAATGATGGCACTGTTTCTCAAAGAAGGGGTCCGCTGACAGTGTAAAANTTGCTGAAAGCAAAAATGGAATGGCCGATCATGAATTCTATGACGTTTTTAAGACCTCACTAATCAGCCAACCACTTTTTAGTTCATAATGAATGAACCCCCGGATGAAAAAAAAATTTCCCCTCCCTTTTACTAAACCATGGGGAGCCCCGAGTAGTTTACCGGACAAATTGAGTTGTCGTGACGATACCTTTCAACATCGGAAAAGACTTCTCTTCATCACGAGACTGATCGGATCTGCCGTAGACACCCGAGAGATCTTCACAAGGCAGGCTAAAATAAAAGACTAAGAGGCGCTGCAAGCGAGCAAAGAGTTATGCTTTCATTTCTTTGTTGAGATTGAAATCAAGTTAAAAGGTTAGGTATAATGCACGCAGGCCAAGTCAAGAAAAGGACTTCCTTACTTTTCATTCATAGTAGTCTTAATGACTAGTAGTTTGAAGCCTTAAGAAAGCGATTTTTTTTCGGCACTCGCTTCTTTCGTCTTAAGTCAAGTTCAGTTTACTTTTTCGATTCGGAACTCATAGAAGGAGCGCGGCCCCGGAAAGACCAATGCGGTCGGTGTAAAACGTTGCGTGGTCGTGAAAGAGTGGAGATCAGACTACCCAATCTCTGAAGCTTGGTTTTCGCTGACCGCAAAATAATGGGTGCTACTGCTAACTCAACCGTGGACCGCGTAAAAATGGACGTGGCTACCGACCCAATGTGTTAACTCTCTGAAGCTCAGCAACGCGGTCCGTAAAATTATGGATGCGGCTGCGAATAGTCAAATGTGGACCGCATAAAAATCTCCACGTCCGCGAACTTATAGGCATAAACAGATCTTACCAATGCATGAATGCGGACCACAAAATTCAAATCATATTGGCGCTGAAGAATTATTTAAGACCTAGGGTTTCACGTAGTTCAAGAATTTAGGCAATTAATAGGCATATTGAACAACCCTTTCCCCCATTAGGTATGTAAACCAATTACCCACATGAATATAAGCATCAAGTAAGCATGATTTTGATTATTTGGAAGTTGCCCGCCCTAATCCGGGGCCGGACTATTGCACTTACGTATCCTTCATTGCGATGTGCTACCCTTGCTGGAGGTGGGGGAGGGTTTGGAATATTATTATGAGGCAGTCGACCTCTCTTTTGTGCTTGTGGTTCAGGTTGAATCTCATCCACATTATCACATCTACCTCCTCCCCCAAAGGCAAACTTTCGGGAGCATTATTGTTAAGAGCCATTTTGTACCTAAAAGCAATTCACAAAAAAATTAGAAAATTGGAAGTAAAGAAAAACAAAACACACAAATACTTGGAGATATAGCTAAAACCGTTTAACTCCCCAGCAACGGCGCCAAGGATGCTCGATGTAGTTTTACCCAACAAAGGTCGGGATCGAATCCACAGAGAGTTAATTAGTTTGGAGTTAGGTTTATATCCGAGTAGAGATGCAGGTTTTGCTCTAAATTGTACTTCCACGAATGGTTGGTTTTGTTTTCTACTTCTGCTTCTATTCTATAGCATGCAATAGTTAAAACTAAGTACAATATTTTTGTTGGTTGTTTTCAAAGATTTAAAGGGACTAGGGTAGTGACTTCCACCTAGGTGGATATCTAACGGGTAGCAAGAATCTAGGAAAATCATGTGATTAATTAGGTTCATGATATAGCTATCACACTCGGGTACTCACTCTATCCTCTCAGTAGTTTGAGTGATTTTGCCCGATTTAGCTTTCTCAAGTCCAAATGGGCATTCATGCAATGCAAGTGATTTTAGCTCAAGTCAGGTATTACTATCTCTAGGTTTAACCCTTTAATTGGGGCTATCAATTTCTTGAGTTCACCCCAATTCCTTGTTAGCCTAGTTTTTCTAGACTTAGTCCCTCTTTCTCAAGTAGAGACTAAGTCATAAAGGCATAAATTAATGTTTGCAACCACTAATTCAATAGTTCAATCAAGAACTAAGCTAAAAATCACTAACCCATACATATTTAAGCCCTAAAATTCAAGACCTATTAAATACCCAGACTAGGGTTGGGTCACAACCCTAGTTATGGGTTTAGCTACTCATAATAACAGCAGAAATCAAAGATAAAGAGAAGCTAAAAGACATAATACTAAATTAAAAGATGAAAATCTGAAGTTATAAGGTAAATCTTGTACAAAATTGCCCAAAGAGGTAAAACTTGTCGTCTCACGTGTTCAGCAAAACATAACTTAATCAAAAAATGTGAAAAAGATCTATTTATACTAGGCTGAAATTCTTGGACAAAAATGCCCCTGCAGAGAATTCGCGGACGCGTAATTCTGACCGCGTCTACGCTTGAACTTTTGCGGTTGCGTATTAATGACCGCGGTCCGTGTTTCTCCATATTTGAATCTGGACTGGGACCTATTTTGAGGACAACGTAAAATCCACCACGTCCGCATGAGCTTAATTCGTGGCTGCGTAATTTTAACGCGGACTGTATTCTTCAGTTAAACTTAACTTGCGGGGCCTCTGAACCTCAAAATATGCTCTCAACAAAGATACTATCCCGGCCGCACCAGATATTCCGCAGTCGCGCTTTTTCATCGCGGTTAGCGGCCAATATTGTGCCCAAAACAGCCTCTCTGAATCTCACTTTCGCGGGCCGCGTATTTGTGGCTGCCTCAGCGGTGGTCCTTACGCGACTGCTCTTTTCTGCCGTTGTTAGCGCTCCAGTCCCAGCCTTGGATTTGTGCAAGTTTGACTCCTTCATGAGTTGATTATGGCTTTTTTGCCTCATTTTGACCAAACCCTGCAAACAAGCACATTAAGTCAGTTTTCGGAAATACCTTTACGCATTTTCGACCCAAAACCTAAGCAAAAGAGTGAAAATAATCGGCTAAAATCCCTAGTTATCATTATTTTATGTTGATGACGTACTAATTACAGGAGATGATGCTGCCTTAATACAAAAGACTAAGGAGTACTTACAAAAAGTTTTTAAAATCAAGGACCTAGGAGAGCTGAAGTTTTTCTTAGGGATTGAAAATGCTTGAAGCAAAGAGGGAATTCTAATGCATCAAAGAAAATATGCATTAGAACTCATCTCAAATATGGGACTCTTAGGTTCAAAACCAGTAAGGGTGCCTTTGGAGGTCAACAAGAAGCTTACAACATTGGAGTTTGACACTCAGTTTGGTATTGAAGATGACAAAGTTCTTGATGATCCTAGTGTATATCAAAGATTGATTGGAAAACTTCTCTACCTCACCATGACTAGACCAAATATTGCATTTGCAGTGCAATGCCTGAGCCAATTCATGCATTGTCCTAAGACATCATATATAAAGGCTGACATCAAAGTGATCAAGTATATCAAGCAATCCCCAGGCATGAGGATACTAATGTCAGCAGATGTTTCCTCTCAACTCACAGCCTATTGTGATGCTGATTGGGACTCTTGCCCTAATATCAGGTAATCAGTCACTAGGTATTTCATTAAGTTTGGAAGCTCTTTGATCTCATGGAAGTCTAAGAAACAAACAACCATATCCAGAAGCTCAGTTGAGGCTGAGTATCGAAGTTTGGCATCAACAGTTGCAGAAATAGTTTAGGTGACTGGTTTGTTTAAAGAATTGGGGGTGCATATTCAGAAATCTGTGTCTATGTTGTGTGACAGTAATTCTGCAATTCAAATAGCTGCTAATCCAGTGTTTCACGAGCGCACAAAGCATATTCATATAGAGTGTCACTTTATTCGCGAGAAGGTGCAACTTGGACTTGTTCATCTTTTACATCTTCCTTTTTCAGAACAACAGGCATATATTCTTACTAAGGGTTTGGGTGTCACTCAACATTATTATTTTCTTTCCAAGCTAGGCATGAAGAGCATCTTCATGGCTCCTAGCTTGAGGGGGTGTGAAGCAATTAGACAACTGCCTAACTGATGCCTAATTGTGCACTAAGAGCTTGATCTGTTTTTAGTTGCGTTAGTTAGTGTAGTGTAATTAGTTATTAGTTAATTATGTTGATAGTGGAGGTTAGTTATACAGTTGGTAACAGGTTGCCAGTTAGTTGTAACTTGTATATATAGGTGTAGCTAGCTCATTCATTTCACTATTCGATTGATAATACGCAGAAAATTCTCCAAACTTCTGCATGTATTTTTTTCTTTCATCTATGCTTTGCTCTACTTGAATGTCGATCAGAATCTCAGTGAGTTTCTTCAGATAAAATATAAAAAATTCATAATAGGAATCAACAAAGATAAAATCAATGAGCAACATTACTTAGCTAGCGTTTGGACATAAATTTCGTAAAAACTAAAAAAAAAAGAATTTATGAAGATGAAGTAAAAAGTAATTTTTGGAAGTTGAAATTGCGATTGGACATGTATTTTACTTGAAAAGAGTTGAAATTTTATAAAACTAGTCTAAACCACAATTGGAAACTTGAAAAATTCATCTTCAAAAACTACCAAAAAACATGTCACTTTTTATAACCAAACGATGTTTTAAAAATATTTTTAAAAAACGTAATTGAAAATTATGGCCAAACGGGAGCTTAATTTAATGCTTACTCGGGGAAATATTGTTAAGAGGAGATCATTTAATAACAAGTTATCAAATAGTACTTTTTTCTTTCGTATTAGTGCTTAAATAGCTCATATTTATCTTTGATTTGTAGGACAGAGTTGTTTGTCAAGAATCATGTTTGCTCATTTTAACATTGATTTGATCAATGAATGATTTTGGACAATTGGTATAACACAAATCATTCATCAGTTCAAATTAGTCAACAATGATCAAGACTTTACTGATTAAGCTTTGGACCAGTAGTTAAGATAAATCGAGGTGCCATAATCTTAAGGTTATTTACTTATTTTCATTTTTATGTATATTTACCGATTAAGTTCACGTGCTTTATTCTTTGGACTTTGGTGCATTGCTGGAATACCCCAAGATATCTCATTAGATTAACTATCCCACTTTCTACTGGGGATTGCTAATTCCACCATTTTAATTTAAAATTTATTCCGAGATTAGCTAATATAGCTAATACCAATAAACATGAGACACATACAATCCCAAATTCTATCCCGACATTATTACCCGTATTCCAAGCAACTAATAAGAATTTGTATTAACTGCAGTAATTAAACTTTACCAATTAACTTGCTTCTAATTCTTCCTATCTCCCCTCTTCTACTATTCTATTCTCCTCCAGAAAACACTTATTCGAAACTTTGTTTTTGATATGTTTTTTCACCCATAAGAACCACTACAAACTAAAAAGGTTGCCCACTATGGCATAATAAGTTGAACGATTAATGTGCTTAACATGAGTCCTGGAAAATCAAGAGACAATTGGAATTCTACTAAACAATTAAGAGACCAAGTCATAGTTAAGTGATAAACGACCAAAAATGCATATTTTTCGGTGTACTTTCATCTCATAACTTGTGTAGTTACGGTGGGTTACATGAGTTTTTATAGTGAATTATGCTCATTACGTGCATTCTTATGTGTAGGAACAAGTTGGACAAAAAGTGAGCAAAAGAAGTTGATTCGGAACCAAAAGACAAAAGAAGGACTTTGTTCGTTCACTCTCGCATGAACACGAAAGAGTGAACGGGCTTGCTAAGGAAAAACTTGGTAAAAATAAAACAGCAGATTATGGAAAAAAGGCATGGAAGTCCACGAGAGATCTATATGGAAAAGAAGAAGAAGTACTTGAACAAAGAAGCCAGGGCATGGTTAAATTGGGTATGCAATAGACTGATGCCTGCAACAGACAAGACTATTGTCATATGGGAGCGTGTTTTTCTCATTTTTGCTTTGATGATAGGTATTGATATGAGGGAAGTGATACAGACCTAGATGTACAGGACCGGGAATACCATGCAATGGGGACTTTATTTCGTCCATACACTAACTGCACTTTTATAGGAGTTTGAGCTAAAAATGAGACGAGCTAAGAAGGGCAATGTGAAGTTGGCTACGTCCATTGATGTAAAGCTGCAGGCAATGGACAAAGCATTACATAACATTTGCAGTGTGCAAGATCCATCTGGGGACAAATATAAGAAGAAATCTTCGATGAGCACTTGAGTGCTATGGAGAACGAGATCCGTTTGTTGAGCTTCTGACACCCACTCTACTTTTGAGCTTTATTTTATTTTTATTTTTTATGATATTTTGCAACTGAGTATAGTGCATATCCTTAAGTATGGGGTGGGGATTTCAGAATTGTAATTGTACAATTGTAGTTAATTTTTTTATTGGTGTAATCCCGGGTTTTCTTCAAAACGCAGTTCTTTCCCGAGGATGCCAATTTTCTTTGAATTGGATAGTAGTTTTTTTTGTAGAATTTTCAAAAGTTTTAGATTTTTCCCGACGACGAACTTCTTTGATAGTTTACTTGAGGGATTAAAGTCTAAAGAAAAATGCAAAAAGATTTTTCTTTTTCTTTCTTCTGTAGAATTGATAATGGAATGGAAAAACTTGAGTATCAATACTTTTTGACATACTAGTTTTAGAGTATACGCTTTGCACGTGTAGTATAAAACTTTTAAAGTATTATCAAATATTTACATTTGTGTGCAATTGTTAAGTGTCATTTCACAGTATTTCTTGAAGTTAATATTACTTAAAGAGTAATTATTGAGAATATTAATATAACGACCCGGACGGTCGTTTTGAGTTTTTGCACTTTGCTCACCAGTTTTCGGGCATGACTAACCCCGTGTGATGTATTATGACTTATGTAAATCGTCGGTCTTGGTTTTCAGGATAATCAGAATGAATTTGGAAGAACAGTTCTCAGTTTGAACTTAAAATTTAAAAGATTTGACCAAGTTTTGATTTTTTAATATTCGATCTCGAATTTGGATTTTTATGATTTGGTTAGCTCCGTTAGGTAATTTTGGACTTGGGAGCACTTCTGGAATGTATTTTGGAGGTCTGTGGCAGATTTAGGCTTGAATTGGCGAAATTGGAAATTTGGCATTTTCCGGTCGGTAGTGAAAATTTTGATATCGGGGTCGGAATGAAATTCCGAAAATTGAAGTAGATCTGTTGTGTCATTTTTGACGTGTGTACAAAATTCAGGTCATTCGGACGAGGTTTGATAGAATTTTTGATCAAATTAGGAATTCGGAGTTTTGGAATTCTTCGGCTTGAATCCGAGGGTGATTCGATGTATTGATGTTGTTTTGAGGATTTCGAAGGTTGGAAGAAGTTTAAATGATGATATAGGATGTATTTTCATGTTTGGTTGAGGTCCCCGAGGGCCTCGGGTGAGTTTCGGGTGGTTAACGGACCAATTCTTGGTTTTGAGTGTTAGCAGATTTTTGTTGGTTTTCTATTGCAGAAGATTTGTTCTTTGCGATCGTGAAGAGGAGTCCGCGATTGTGAGCATGTGATTTTTGCCCTTTTAGAAATACTCCTACAAAATTAAAGGAAATAGATTTTTCCAAATTATTTTCAATTTTATAGGATTTTATTAATTGTTTGCATTTTTGTACACATTTAATTTGTTTTGTTAAAAATCATGAAAAAATGCCCAAAATTTCAAAAATATCATGCATTGCATATTAGATTTTTGTGTTCATGTTTTAGGATTAATTGGTTAATTAATTGCTTTATTAAAATGAAAATCACAAAAATATCATTCATTTTATATTTTTAGCTTTTAATGCTAGATTAGTAATTTTCTCTTCATTAATTTAGAATTAACTAATTTTTGTAAATATTAAAATTAGATACTTAGTTTAATTTTGTAAATTAGATTAATTTAGGATTTTAATTAATTAAAGAAAGAAAAAAGAAAACAAAGAGAAAAGAATTTGGAAAAGGATTAATTTGGTTTTGAAATTGGGCCAAATTTTAATACTCAAATCCGTCCAAACTCCAGCCCAATTCCCTTCAATACCCGGTCCAATCCCCATGCCTCAAAACAACCCTGTTTCCACGTTCTTTCATCATAGCCGTTGGATTCATTNGTCTCATTTCACCCCCTTCACTCTCATCTCTCTCAAGCCCCAAACCCTAGCCTCCCTCTCACCCCTTGCCGGCTCCGCCTCTTTACGCCACCCAGAAATCGTCTTACGGTAGCGGAGTACCTCCAAATCGCATGAAATTCACACCATGTAACCCTGAGCCCCTCCCAAACATTATTCCCTCATTAGCTTCTCCCAAATCATCACTTAAATCCTCCAATTTCAAATCCAAAAATCACACCCTAAACGGTTGGTCTCCAAACACCTCCAAATCTTCACCATATAACCTCCACACCCTCCTAAACCCAAATCCCTTGTTGATTTCCCTAAATAACCCCATAAACTCCCTGAAATCCAGATCTGAAATTTTAAAGAAAACCCCAATCCACCCTAATTCCAATTTTTTGCTTCCAAGGCTCGATTTGACTCGAGACTTGCGTTAAGCAATTGTTCTTGTTAAGAAAAATTGACTAATGTTAGTCTTGGCTTGTTTCGAGGGTCATCATTGCCTGACCAAACCACTGATGCCTGGCCAAGGTGCCTTCTTTCTTCGTTGGTTCACTTCAGTCGTCAGTTCATTCCGATTAAAAACCAGTACTCGTCCTCTTTCTTTTGTTTTGTTTTTGTTTTTGTTTCTGTTTTCTGATTTTTCTTGTTTGAATTAATTCGGATTATCTACTTGTTTGAACTTGTTTTGAGTATTTAATTGTTTAAGTTAGTTTTATTATCTACTTGTTTAAATTTGTTTGAATTAGTTTGGATTATTTAGTTGTGTAAATTAGTTTTACTATTTACTAGTTTTGAATTAGTTCTTATTATCTACTTGTCGAATTAGTTCTTAGTTTGTTTAAGGTCATTTGGGTCTAATTGGTCAGTTGTGTAGGTTATAGGTTAATCAAGTTAAATTAACTAGTTATTAATTGATTTTCATATCTTTAGGTTCATGGT